GACAATCCAAAGTGTAGACTATTGTTGAGGTCGCGTATGTGACAGCCCTGGTTTCCAGGTGAAGGAAATCCGACAGCTTATTTCTCCTTGTCTCATCATCGCTTCTTCCAGACAAGATGATCCAGTTTTGGTTTTTGGCTTTGTTCCTCCTGCATCTTGCCTTTAGGTCTGTAATCCAGTGATTCATAGATGTGCTCCCTACCCAAATCTAGGTTTTGCATTTTCATCATGTAAAAATTTCAAAATCAGATGGCGTTATCAAATTCTTCCCAGAAAAATAAGTGAAGTAAGAGAAGAAAGTATGGATCCCTTTCTCAGCGAGTAGACTTAGGTGTCCAACCTGTCTGTCTGGAGGGACACAGTTTCACCTATAGCAAGGACTTTCTTCTACCTCAGCAGTTCTCAACCTGTGGGGCACGGCCCCTTTGGGGGGGTCAAACAACCCTTTCACAGGGGCCCCTAGATTCCTGAAAGAAGCAAAATTAGAATTATTAAGTAGCAATGAAAATAATTTTATGGTTTTGAGTCACCACAACAGGAGTAACTGTATGAAAGGGTCGCGCCATGAGGAAGATTGAGAACCACTGTTCTACATCAACGGTTGGCACACAATCCCTGGGCCAAATCTGGCCCCTCAACTGTTCTTGAAAATACGTTTGTTGTATCTCAGCCAAAATCCATCTATTTGCACACATCTATAGTTTTTGTGCTAAGCTGGGTTCTCCAGAGAAGCAAAACCACTGAATATATATATATATATATAAAATTTGTATCATGAAAGCGTTCACACCATTGCAGAAGTGCTTGTCCTAGGAGTGGTCAGACACAGCTGGTACACGTCTGCGAGTCAGACGGCCCACTGGGGGCAGAGGACCAGGAAGCAGGAAGAGCACGGGCTAACGAGCCAGATGAGTCCAAGGTCGGCAAGTCAGGCTCATGGCTTTTCCTGACCCGTAGCTGCCAGGGCTGAGGAACCAGGAACCCAGCAGGCAGTCAGGCTTTCGGCTACAGAATCAAATAAACCCAAGGTCTATGAACCAAGCGCAGGATCCAGAGCAGCAAAAGGAAGTGAGCTTACTTTCCCTTGGTGTCCACTTGTATACGAGTAGGCCAGAGCCCTGATGAAACTCCCTTCCAATTGCATCAGGGCCGGGACCTGTCTAGGGGCAGCACATTCTACCTTCATCTTCCCACAGCTGCTTGGCTGCTCACAGTAGACCCTATCATGGAGTTGATGACTTTATGTTGGATCATATCATGGGGGAGGTTCTAACTGCACAACCCAGAAACCTGGACCAGCCAAGCTGACACAAAGCCTAACCATCACAGCTTCTATTGCACTGCAACAGCAGTTTGGCTCACAAGACTGAAAATCTTTGCTAGCTGACCTGTGCCAAAAAGAGTGAGCAAGCAGGTCTTATGCTGTCCTTAGGCCTTTGTGCAAGTTATGTGTTGGCCCCAAAGGAGTTATCAGAGGCTGAGGGCAGTGGACTGTTTCCATGGACAGCAGATGCCCCTGGTAAATGAGGGGGGTCTGGGCACCTGGGATACAAACAGCTGAGATGCAGTTCTGGGAGCAAGACCTGACCGAGGGTGCTGTGTTCCTTCCTAAGGACAACAACCTTGAGTCTCCTGAGAAGGCAGTTTGTTATGAGAACGGTGTGCTTGGTCTGCTATCTAGTTTCTACTTTACTTTGAGGAAGTGCATCCGTGCTTGCTAACCCATGCCCTAGCTAGCAGAGTAAATAAAAGACTATGCGGGGCGGTCATCGGTGCAAAACCCAGCCAGAGGTGTCCGCCCTTGGCTGGCGTT